CTATATCTGGGTATGACGAACCTCTATACGTAGGTTTCAGATACACTGTATAAACCTTTTTGTTACAGTTTTTGTTTATTGTTCTTTGTTAAACATCAGTAAAGCACAGACTTCCCAGTACCTTCAACCCTCATGAGCCACATGCCCATAGCGCATTCATCCTTAAGAAAACTGTTAGTTAGACTTCTCCATTTTTGCAAAGATTGTGGCATTATATTTACATGTTTGTGTCACTACCATTTATTTTTGTATGTTTGAGATAATTGTTCGGATTATTTTGTTATACAAAAAAAATGTCAAGGTACATATGAGGATAAGAGGGTGAGACAGGTTGTCTCAATAAATATTATGTACTACACATGTACCTACTTAGTTGTTGCCTCTTTGGATTTCTTGTTGACTTACTTTAGAATCACGCATCGTGTACGATTGCCATCTAATGGAAAGGGGGCATTAAGTAACATTTATGTAACAATTATCATTGTAATTAGTCCTTACATGAATCACAACACAGAACAATGATTACTAGTAATATATCCTTTATTTACAATATCTGAGGGCTGGCAAAAGAACCATACCACTCCTGTTAACTGTATACTGACGTCATCTTACAGTGACTTTGCATTTATTGTCTTTACCCCTCGAAAAAACAAGAGTAAGAAATTTCAACTTTTGAATTGAGACAACCACCTTTATAATTTTCAAATTGAGGTAAATATTCTGTTAAGATATCAAAATTTGCTTGTTTTGTCCCCAGGAATCCAGCATCACCTATAGCTCTGTTCATGTACTTAAGAGGAGAGCCCAGGTGATTTTCAAATCGTTCAGTCAGAACTACAGGAATATCATTTACAAGGACAAGTACGATGTACAAGTACTTCTGCAATTAAGAGCAGAAGCTCTTAAACCAACAGCACAGCATTGATGCAGCCGTCATTTTCTGGGTTGTTGGTAACCTGAGCATATTTACCTGTGGAGTGAAAGAAGAGAAAATGAAGCAAAAGAAACAATTACGAATTAATACATGTATGTAAAGTTATGCATAAACATTCGTTTGTAGTCACTTTTCCAAATCATCACATGTACAGAGAGCCACAAGCATTTCCATCATGTTACTAGTACTATGTTTCAACCATGAACTAAAAATACAGCAAACTTTTGTGTTCACTGTGACAGAATTCTAAATGCTGCAAACTTACAGTAGACAATTACCAGACACAGTTGATGTGAACCTGCCATGTTCTCTATGATAAATGTACCAGGAGATAATGCTTTTATTTCATTGATCCAAAAATGACACACAGCTTCCAACCCAAATAAAGTTTTTATATTTTACATGAATGGATGCGATACATGTCAGGACAAGCTTCAGTTTCACCTCTAGCATGTCTACAAAAGAGACGTTTATAAAGAAAAGTTGATAAGACTGACCCCAGATGACTTTTCCTCCCTGTGTGACCAAGGCCCAGTTCTGAGACGTTGACCTCGATGACTGTGCCTTTAGTAATGACCCCCAGCGAGGTGTAGAGGGGGGAGGTGGGGTTCTTCTTCACACCGATGATGGGAAGACAGAAGGTGGCCTTCAGCTCAGGGTGTGTCACATGGGCCTTCTTAAACCTCAAACCCTGAGGGAGTCAGGACCAACATGTTACAACTTAAAGAACAACCAGTAGCATAGTACATCAACATAGTGTTCTGTAAATTTTTCTGAACCACAATGACAAGAGAAGTACTGTTATTTGTAGTTTGCAAACAGCTTTATGTAAGCAAATAAAACAAGCTTGGATTGGAAGATTTAAAAAGATTGTCCATGTTGTGACTACTCACCATTGGTCTGATGAATCTCTCATACTTTGGAGGTTTCCTAGTAAATCCCTCTCCCACATATGTTACCTTGGTAACCATACGTTTCCAGGCTTTTTCTGCAAGAAAGGTATTGATTGAATGACACTTCTAGGTAGTTTTCTCATGTAATGGCACTTCTTGTGTAAACATATGATTGTATGTAGCTTTATCAACATCATCCTTGTCAGTGTTCGAAATACCCGTCTGCAGTCTGCAATTTGCAGATAGATTTTCAAGATTGCAGAAGAAAAAATCTTACAATCTGCAATTTTGCAGGAGGAAAAAATAGGCTCCGGATTCAATAGTTTTCAATTAGCAAAGTAATGATCAGTAATGGCTGTGAATAGATTGAAAACCTGCGCTGCACGAACCTGCCAGCGTTTTCCAGCAGACTGTAATGGTCCCATATAAGGGAATTGGGGTCAAAGTTGAACGATTCCAGCAAGGCGACGAATGGCGACGATAACCAAATATGGGCACTCGCCATGTTCCGATGTTAGATTTCGTCACCCGGGAGGACCCGACAACTGCCTCGGCAGTTTTCGCCGAGCATTTCCCAGCAGGCAACGCGGCAAAGGAAACATGGCTCTTCCGAAGACGCACACTCGCCTCGGCGATTATTTGTTATATGTTTTTCCTTGGTATTTTGCACGATTCAAACAAGGAAAACAAGTTGATCACATGAACACAAGAGAAATTTAGCACTGGGAACCTAATGGTCCGTTTTGTTGGGCGGTAATTTCTCATTTCGAGTAAAAACTTACGTGCGTCACATTGTGACCATGTGGTGTAAAAAAATCAGTGATTCTCGGCTCGATCCGAACCAAACACGGCTCGTAAACTTGTCCTATATGATTTTTAGATGACTATCGGTACCGAAAATACGGGAAATATTGTTGCAAAATGAGAGAGACGGAGACTAAGGTAAAGTTCTTTTATTTGAAGGCTGGATTTTCATCTTCCTGGCAGGCTTCCTTGTATGTAGTGATGATCAGTAACAACAAATATGGATTTTTGTTCCGGTCCAAAAAACTGGTCCATCGACGTTTCAGTTATTTTGGACCGGACCGATAAAATTTTTACGGTCCGAACATATTTAAAAGAGTGATATTTTGAAGAATTTCAGTTATGCTATAGATTTACAAAGCTATGTATATATGATGTAAAAATAGGCATTATTGGTTTCAGAAAGTTGTAATATGGGGGCTTGTGTATTTGCAGAAAGTATTTCCAAATTGCAGGACGAAATTTTGACTCTTCTGCAATATTGCAGAGCACTGAAAAAAAGTATTTCGACCACTGCTTGTCGTATACCCCAAATATTTCAGACTGTTACATACTAGAATTGCTAAGTTACCTTTTCATTACGTGTACCAGACTGTACCAAAACTCACTTTTAGATTTGCCTGTTTTGACGACCCTGAAGACCTCCGCTTCTGACTGAGCTCGCACCTTGGGCAGAGGCACCTCCCACTTTCCCTGGAATTACAGATAGAAAACATCAACACCCAACGCAATTAAAAAACTTAACACAACAGTAACAGACAGGAAAATATGGGACTTAACACATTCATTGAGACTCCTGCTACAGATACTCACTGCTTTTTCTTTCCTCTTCTGTTTGATCATGTTGGAGAGAACCTTGGCCCGAGACTGTCCTTCACGGTCCAGTAGATACGCGGGGACAGCTCCCTGTGGAACCTTGTCATCCTTACGCTCTTTTGTCTTCCTCTCTTCATGCATCTTCAACCTGAAGAAACAATTATGTACCTGGTCGGCTTCAAGTCATTGTGAAAAATATGTAGATGTACTTCGAGCTGTGCCATAGACTTAAGCTAACAGTGTATAAAAGCTTGCCAATTATGATGTTGATAGTAATAAATGATTTTTTCTTCCATATTTTAGTGTCACATGTTCTCAACAGTTGAGATGTTGTGACATATCATACTTTCTTGCCTCTATTGAGGAAGCAATAGAATCTCTATAATGAATGAATCTTAGTCTGTAATTTGACATTGTAGTAAGAGATCTAGCTTCCATATCTATGTAATACTTCTTTTTGAAGTTATGTTTCTTAGCAAAGTTATCTGTTAGCAAAAAAAAAAAGTAAAGACGGAATCAACTTACGTTTTCTTCATCTGTACCTTCTCAGCATGTCTCTTCTTGTTGTACAGCTTTGCCCTAAGGAATGTAACAATCAATTCATACAGTCCTCAACAAACCAAGAAACAAATTGCACTGATAACAATGATAGTAAACACTTAAGTATAATGTTGCGTATATATAGAAAATGTGGAAATATATTTAAAATGTCTTTTGATCATAACCAAAATATAAAGAACATATCATACAATCGAGGATTATGATAAGACTACCTTTGTACATTTGTGTGATGTACTTACTTGAGTCCCTTGAGTTTCTTGGCCTTCTCTGCCATCTCATGAGGCCTTCGAGCTTCTTTCTTACGTCTGAAAAAGGATTTTTGTTGATAAGGTCAGGTCAGGTCTATCTATATGTTATTTACATGTGGTAATCTGCAACACTGGTCATGAATAAAATACATGTGACACAGTGACAGCTATACTTTTTACCATGTGTGAGAACAGGATCAAAAAATTTCAGTAGTATCCAAACTCCAAAGTGTATAGAGCAAATCCAGGTGTAGAACCTCTACTACTGCAGTAAATACAATCTAGATATTTCTACTAGAGCTTAATAAAGTGACGGTAACAAGGAAACTTAGGTGACATTGAGAGAAAAGTAACTTACTTTCTTTCATGGTAATCCAGTCGGTACCCATGTCTCTTCCTGTGAAGTTCTATATGCTCGTTCTGAGGCTGTGTAAGGCAGGATAACAAGACAGCAATTATAACTACATTAAGTTATAACATGGCCAACAAGTTTGTCCCGGTAACACTTCCCTCAAAGAAAATGTACTGAAAATTGGCTTACAAGATAAAAACAAGACAACACGTGTATTCTTTTTTAGAATTAGGTTTTGGTACAAATCTCCAAGCAGATGTTAGGATGTCCATCACGTCCGGAAGGGTGAAAACCTCAGCAGCCTAGAACATAAGAATTCCACCCAACATCTGCTTGGAAATTAAATCTGATTCAATGGGTCCATATGATAGATTATAAAATCATAGATCATGTGCCACCAGAGTCGAGGATGGGATTAGGTACAGGTACGTAAAAATATGTATTATTCTTGAATATGTGCTAAAACGACGACCACTTTCCAAAACTGATTCCGGACATCACCATGCTGCCCCCCTCCCCACATGTGCGCACATGTGCACGCTTGTGACAACGCTTCAGAATAAACTCTAAGTAACTACACTCGCTTCTAACGATCGAACAGGATTTATGGTATAATTCAAGCCACCTCTGGCTAATAAAACTTACCATGGTGGGATTTTATGGATTCTTTCGGCTTTTTTCCAACAGCGAATTTTTTCCTTCCTGACTATGGCTTCCACCAGCCTCGTTTTCACTAAGGGTGATCACATTGGCGCATGGAATGACCGTCTCTATTTTATTTTCAACAAAACGAAAGAAAAAATCAATACGTTTGATTCAAGTCGGTGGTACTGACTTCAATGAATATATTTTTATGAAATACTTTCTTCCATCGTTTCTTGTTTCAGAAATATAACGATATAAATACCAGATATCAATCCCCTATATTCTATAATCGTACAGTCCGGATTGTGTTCAGTGAGCCTGGTTCAGTTCAGAGTTCAGCGTGCCGGTCTGTGTGGACGGTACCGTGTAGACGGTGTTGTTTGTTCCGACAAAACTGCTCTTTCATACCGATCTCTGAGATCAGAATTTGTAGGGGAAAGAGAAGAGTTTATTGAGATGTCTGTAAACTACGCCGCGGGACTCTCTGATTACGATCACAAGGGGAAATGTGGTCTGCCAGAGGTGAGGGCAAATTTAACTGCATGCACGTCAACTTGGTACTAGTAACTTATATGCTAACCTTTCCAAGCAGAATCTGAATGTGATGATGTAGGGTTTAGCGTACTGGTTAATGTGCTTTCAAGCTTTTTTATGCATTTTCTGCATCTTTCTAGTGGTCCACGTTTTCATCTTTTCGCCTCCCTCGGAAAGAAAGATTTTGTACCTTTATTATGATGGCTGATATTGTTTTGAAATCAAAATTGAGAATCATGATCAATAGATAGAGACTTCTTCTTTCCGAATACCCTCGAACAACCCCTGTACGGGGTGTCACTGAGGGGGAGAAGCGGTACATGGGTTAGGGCAGGGCGGCTTCTACCCTGGCCTTAAAAGCCTCTACTGTCGGTGCCCTCACCACTGGGCCCGGCAGCTGATTCCACTCGCTTACCGTACGAGAAAAAAAGAAAACTTAAAACAGACTTAGACTGATAAAACTACTATACACTACAGAAATATGACCCGCCAGACGTGCTTGCGGAGAAGGTGTCCCAGCTGGTAGACATTGTCCGTGAGTCAGAACACCTGGTGGTTCACACAGGTGCAGGGATCAGTACATCTGCAGGGATACCTGACTTCAGGTGAGACAGATGTTAACAATGAATGAATGATAACATATTAAGAATGAATGATAAGATATTAAAGGCTATGTGATCTGTTGTGTTTCCGGTTAACCAAACGACCCTGCCGACTCTTTTTTTTGGGTCTGGACTGAATCAGAACCGGACCAAACATTTTGGTTTAACTTAAGTCCAAATACCAGTGTACTGATGCATTTTAGTGTTATATTAACTGTATTATTGGATCACTTTGGCTGCAATGTAAACAAAAAACAAAAAAAACTACCTACCAACCGTAACGTTAATTTTTTCAGGACCATAATAGGAAACACATTAATTTTTCTAGGCCTTACACATGTCTTCTGAGTAAAAATCATTAGAATCCCCAAGCAGTGGAGACATAAGCTTTGTAACATTTTGAACATGTGTACTGCAGAGGTCCCAAAGGTGTGTGGACCCTGGAGCAGAAGGGTGAGACTCCCCATTTTGACACGACGTTTGAGTCAGCGTGCCCCTCCCCCACACACATGGCTCTGGTGGAGCTGGAGAGGCTCGGCGTCGTAAAGTACGTCATCAGTCAGAACGTGGACGGACTTCATGTACGCTCAGGCTTCCCCAGGTAGGACATGACCTCTAATAACCTCAGAAATATACAGTCAAACCTGTACTTATGACACCTCTACATTACAACCACCTCAATAATGTAGCAACATTCTGGTGGTCCCTTGGATTACCTTTCTCATAGACCCAGACAGTTACATTTGTAAGAACGACTACATGTTTGTGTGTGTTTATGATATCAAGAAGATGTCAAACCAGCTGATGATCAGACAGTGTACCAGTATATCAAGTAAGACTTGCAGATACATGTATATCTGAATATGACATCAGAGTGGAATTTGAAAATTATCTGTTGTTTCATATTTCCAGAGACAAACTATCAGAGCTCCATGGCAACATGTTTGTGGAACAGTGTGACAAGTGTGGAAAGTAAGCTTCCTCTTCTTTAAATCAAATCAAATCAAATTAACAAAGTGAATCACTGATATTCAATAGTCAGAATATAATAAAACTTCATTGCATGTTCATTCCCCGGGGGGATAAATGCACGGATGTACAGAGTACAATGTACTAGAGAGTACTACAACAATAGTAACTAGAGTCCAATAGTGTAAATATTGTAGTTTGGGTATAGTTCTTCCCTTATTTAATTCATTTTGTCTTCCTATATCCATGGCAATTCTAAAAAAAGGGCCCTGTCAGAAGTGTGAATCATCCCTGATGTTATCTCTCCCCACCAGGCAGTATGTACGTGACACAGTTGTACCTACCATGGCACTGAAGCCTACAGGTGGGCAGTGTACTCAGGTCAAGTCAAGAGGCAGATGCAGGTTGGTTGTCTTTCAAATATGTGTCATGAGAGCAAGGCATCATTCCTAGAAAAAATTACCTTAGCTAGACTAAACTGTAGGGAGTATAATGGAATAGCAGTATAGACTATGCATGTGCTGTATGACTACTGTGTGATGTGTCATGTCAAAGGTGAAGTCCTTTAACTTGTAAATACACAATGACACATGTAGTTTTTTAGTTTTTGTCATGCTTAATGATGGCCTGTCCTGTACTCAGAGAGCCACAAACTATCAGGAAGCTGACAAAAAGCAAGGTTAAGTCAGGCAAACATGTTTTGTTTTTGGTACAGGGGCCTTCACCATTGAAATTACACATGCACAGCACAAGCCATGAACCAGCTAATTATAAGATGTTCTCTAGGCCCGTATTTCTGAATTTGTTCCCTGTGCACATGTTTAGAGGGAAGCTGCATGACACCATCCTTGACTGGGAGGACTCCCTACCAGAGAGAGACCTGGCACTGGCTGATGAACACAGCAGGTTGGTGGTACTCAACTCTCCCTTTGTGGAACTTCTGGGAGGTGTTAAGAAATTTCATCTTTGTCCTGCTTGGTCTTTCTTCTTTCTTTTTGAATCTGACGGAAAGCACAACACCTTACTGTCCTTTTGTTTCTGTCATTACGATATTATTGTTTGCACCTTATACTATAGCTCATCCATAGTTGTAGTGTATAAGCTTGGTTCCAACACAAGAAAGGAACTCACTATAAATTTTCGCTTGACCTTGTTAACCTGCGCCAGATGTACGATTCACTCATTGGTAAAGGTTGATGAGGTAGACTGAAAATTTATGATGAGCTCCTTTCTTGTGTTGGATACAAAGCTTAATTTCTACAGCTATCCTTTGCGCTTACAGTTTTTTGATGTTGAATAGCACATTTGTCCTCTATTTCTTGAATGTGAGGACTTGTACCTCCCATGTTTGTTGGTTATATGTCCTATACTGTGAGCCATGTGGTATCAGTCCTGCACATGTCTCCTGTTGCAGACGCGCTGATGTTGCCCTGGTGATGGGGTCCTCCCTGCAGATTGTGCCCAGTGGAAACCTGCCCATGCTCACCAAGAAGAGAGGAGGCAAACTGGTCATCATCAACCTGCAGCCCAGCAAACATGTTAGTCACAACTTCAATCTTCTAGATGTACGTTTGCCTCATAATATAAAAGTCCTTTGTTTAATATAGTGGTATTGTTTACCACAGTATGGTAGCATAATACTGGTATTCCTAAACCAAACAGTCCTGGATTTGTACTGGGTTAGCTTGTCATTATTGTGTAGTGACCTGCAATGGGCCGCACTTCATCAGGAGGGGACAAATGTACTGTACTAAGTATATATGGGATTTTGCAAGATTCTGAGCAAAGCTAAGGCAACTGGTTAAGATCAGTAATGTGCTGAAATAATGACTGGGTGACAGAAATGAAATCTTTGAAAATGACTTTAAAAATGTTAAAGGAAAATGCTCAAAACAATGACACACACACAACATTTCAAATGTGTTTTAAAGACTTCTTCCTAATTCATCTTTTTCCAGGACAAGCATGCGGACCTGCGCATCCATGGGTACGTGGATGAGGTGATGTCCATGGTGATGAACCAGTTAGGAGTCAGCATTCCGAAGTACACCGGACCCAGCGTTGTGTTAGAGTCTCCTGCTCGACAAAGAGTCATGCTCAAAAGGGAACATACAACAGAGAACATCCTTCACAATGGAGACCCACAGAATGCTGATGCTTTTACTAACTGTACACAGAAAATAAAAACAGAAGAAAAAGCTAAAACTAAAACAGATACCTCAGGGGTAAAGGATGTATGTGACAGAGTGATGAATAGTGTAGACAGGGACACAGAAGCTACAGTTTCTCTGGGTAGTAGTTCTAGTAACAATGTATGTACAAGCTATCAGTCTCCTCAGAAAACAGCAGAGAAAATCACCAGTCATGAAACACATTCAACTAAACCAGCAGGGCAGGAGATACAGAACTCCTCATCTCAGCAGACAGACAGTTCTGTGTCTGCTAAAAGGCTGAAATTAGACAGCGATTAGTAAAGTTATTATTGCAATACAATAATTGTGTTCTATGTTTTAAGCACAGTTGAAATTGCCCAAGAAGACCTCTCAGGGGACAGACAAAATCTGGTCTATATGGACAGGTGGTCATTGTAGACAGGATTTCTATTACTAGTGTCAATGGGAAATTTATGTAAGGAACCACCAAGAAGTAATGGCCAGGTGGTCCTTGTATAGAGGTAGTCACTTGTACGGGTTTGACTGTAGTACATGGTTCATCAAAATACTGTTATTAAGTTCATCTGCTGTTGTTGAGAATGACTATTGACATCATTATCTATGGTGTGTCTGGCTGAGACTTGTCAGCCCAATGAAGGCTCTGAAAACCCGACCACAGGTCAGGCACAGGAGGGTTGCTGGAGTGAGGCATGTTTTTGTACAGACTGGGCAGTCCTGTTTGGGTCGTAGAAGGAAACATCATATACCAACATAACATATGTTAGTGATAGCACTTCAACTTGTTCTTGGGTAACAAAGACATGTAGACCCCACTGTCATTGATCTCCACCGTCATTTGTTCTACTAGAGTTTGTTGTACAAAAGTTTTAATAAACAGTTTTGTTATGTCACTTTGAATTTGAGAATTCTGCCACCTTTGACTTGCTTACTTTTCACAAGCCACATTGTCATATAGTGATATAAATACAAGTGCTCATATCGAATACTGAGTGCTACCTCAAAACCAATTCCCTATATATTGATCATGCCGGTCAAGCCCACAGAAATAAATATTCTCTGATCTTGGTTCGATATGTCATGTGCATGCGTGCAGCGTGAGAATCTTTGCAGCAACTGCTTTTTGGTCCAAACATATGTACGCAATCAGTAAGTTTAGAGAAACAACGAGGAATTGTATTGCATACAGCAGTTGTAGTTTGTTTACCTCGGACCATTGTTTACCATTTATGTAATTGGTCTCGACGGTTCAAAGAGGGTAACGTCCGTGGCAGATCCAGTACGCATGGTTTCTTCTTTCATCTTTCTTACTCACGTGACGGGCTGCTTTTCAAGGTCTCGACTCTGAAGTCCCACTCAGACGGCCGAGTCCCTTGGCGTACGTGTATGTGAAGGACGGTTTTTGCAGCAAGGTGTCATCAGCAAGTGGTAACATGCCGGGAATTCTGCGGCAGTCCCAGAGTGCACGTGGTGGCGCAGCAGGTAGTGTGTTGTTTTTCGTATGATTGGTAGAATTTTGTTTCCAAATCTTGTATGGTGTTCCTGCCGTTCTTGAAACAGGCTTCTGACACAGGTTGCGTGGTTAAACCCCCCTCCCCAATCATTTTCGAATATATCAAAGAGGCGTATGTTGTCGTAGACTAGTTTACGATATATGTTTTTTTTTGTGTGTGTGTGTGTGTGTGTTTACCTTAGAAATTGACATACTTGTAAAACCCAGCTGCTTATATTTCCACAGAGTGGGAATTCCATACAGTACGATCATATAAACCATTGTTGTAATAAGCTCTTCCTTGATATGTTTATATTCTTTTGTTTTGATATCAGTGTGGTTTAAGTGCTTAAAAATGAAATGTAAATTCTTACTTAGATATCTTGAACAATCATTACTTGTTCATAATTAGTATAAACTTTAGGACTAAAAGATTTCAGATAGTTTTACAGTAAATAATAATGTTATGTTTGTTGTTATCTTGCTGTAGTCAACATACCCATGCAACAGTCAGTTGACTGGAGGGCGCTTGCGAACATTGCCGCGAGTGTACCTAACACTTTGTACGTCTCCAGAGCAGGTAAACGCTTTCCAGAACCGCTTTTTTTCTGTTGCCCTCTTGCTTTGCTGGTTCTATTTTTTATTTAGCTTATCTAGCCGACTGCTATCCACCCGTGTGTCAGTGAACCCTCAGCAGTTTAATCAAAGACTGGATACTAAAACGGTAGCTTTGACTATACTGGTTTTCAAAGGTTCTCTTCAGATCTCGCGGCTCTTTAATTTCACCGTCAAAAGATTGTGAAATTGATGTCTTATCCTTGAAATCATGCGGGATAGATTTTAAGTTCCTGTACTACAATAATGCATGGTCGGTGACGAAGAAGTTAGGCCTCTAGAATTAAATGAAACAAAAATGACCAATCTGCGATGATGTCCAAAACAAATGTTTTGAAATACTAGGGATCTGCCGGTTTCTAATACGGATAGCCAAGATAGTTTTGACTGCAACTTGAAATTCCACGATTTAGATGCTGACCAAAGCTAAAATCTATTTTACTTCTTCCAAAAGATGTCTCTTATGGTGCGGTCGCTACGGACAACGCGACAAAATGTTGCAGCCTCCGCAAGAAGATGTTGCAAACCGCCGGCATCGTGTTCGCTATGGTTATATTCTTTCTCTTGCCATATTTTGCAGGTCAGTTGTTTTCTCACTTTCGTAAATACTAAGGTTTTGTTCGATATGTTACTGCTTTAGAATTTTGCAGCATTCTTTCAGAGCTAAGCAACTGCGATCTGCTCTCCTTGTTTAACAGTGAAAGTCGCCACTCTTTCTGACGAGATGGCGAAGCTTTCTGAAGGGCTGGAGGCTCTCTCTGAAGGGCTGGGCGAACTAAAGAAGATGACGCAGTTGCGATTTGCTAAGCTGGAACGTGAGATTCAGTCCTGATAGTAATGCCCACAATGTAACCGATCCTTTGATTTCTGGAAGATATAAGATTTGAGGAGGGGGGGGGGTCCTAAACTTCATGCTTTCTCGGAGGTACCGGAATTTTCAGTCGTCATAGGAATTCCAAATTTTCGGCATTATGTACTAAATAATTCAATCATTTTGATATGGATTCCTTACAGATTCTGTTGTAAAATACAAAAACGCCACCATATGATGTATAAAAACTATTAGTATACATCAATTTCTCTGTTAAATCAAATGGATCTATTGTTGTATAATCTGTTGTATCATTGATTTATATTTACGTTGATTATCACATCGATTTTGAGTTCAGCTTATGTTTGTTTCCTATTAATTCCATTGTATAAATTGTGAATTTCTGTTGTTATATTTTGTAACATTTCAATGTACACGTGAGCTCCAGGAAGAATAGTGACTTGTCACTAAAAGCAAGGACGTTTTACAAGTGACCTTGCTAATAGAGATCCAAATAAACCAAACCAAACCAAACCAAATATAAAGCCATCTGTAAAGCTTTTCGAATGTTATCTTACTTGCTTACCGAGCATTATGTACAAAATGATGATGCTCTTCCTGGACATGTGACGTTTTGAACAACCATGTACAACATACTGAGAGCTAACTGTAACAGCTATGGATAGAAACAAAATAGATGCCTTGGATTAACGTGTAATAATGTCCTCTAACGTGGAACAAATACGTGCAAACCCATACCTGCTGCCAAAGCAAGTCGGAAACAGTACCTTCTTCATCAAGGTAAAAAGGACAATTACTCAATATGCATACTTCGTTTAATCATAATATAGCCGTTACTTGCAAATATATATTTGTGTGTGTGTGTGTGTGTGTGTGTGTGTGTGTGTGTGTGTGTGTGTGTGTGTGTGTGTGTGTGTGTGTGTGTGTGTGTTTATCAGATGTGTAAATATGTATCACTGTTTAGAGCTGATGCTTAAGACACATGTAAGAATGTAAGCAAACATTCAACGTTTCAAATTTACACGAAGATATATGAATTATATGAATCGTATCTATAACAGTTTTGGGGGTAAAACATGTTCTTTCTTATTCAGCTAAGACATAAGGCAATATTGTACCCCCAGCAGTGATTAAAATCATGAGTCAGTGTTAACTCCCACCACACGTACATAACTGTTACACTCTGGTGTAACCAGTAGGATGGATATCTGTCGTACTACCTTCCTTCAGTTAATGGCTATAGGTACAGTTTCAAGGTTATTCTATTTCAAATCTCAATACATAAATAAGGTATAGCTTAGAATGTAAACAAAAACGGTTCTTTGTACTAAAAAAGTGAAGACACATGAAGCTTATTATCAATTCATGTGCATGTACATACGCGAAGACATCAAGCCCTCTTTCTTTGCGGGTTCTATCTTTTTTATTTATCTTTTTACCATCCGATTGCTGACCACTCCTGTGTCAGTGAACCCACATCAGTTAATCAAAGACTGGATACTACAAGTACCCTTTACTAGGCTGGTTTTCAAAGGTTCTCTTCAGATCTCCTGGCCCTTTTCACCATCAGACTGTTATTTATTGATTGTTTAGCCTTTAAATAATGAAATAATGCAAGATAGATCTAAAGTTAATGTGCTACAATACATGAAGTGACGAAGAAGTTAGGCCTCAAAATGACAAATGAAAGTAAGGCAGTAAGCAAGTCCTTAAGCTATAACATATTTGTAAAGAGATATTGTCAAAGGTACGCGAAATCCCAGTACCTACTATAACGTTAGAGCCGATTGGCAGCAGGATCTACACCTTGTTTTCCACACGGTCTGTTCCGGCCACGTCGTCCTCTGGTTTCTGGGAGGGTTCTTCTCCCCATGGTGTCGCTGCGGAGAAACCAATCAATAAATCGCCCTTATAATATAAATTTTGCTATCCCATAACTTTGTAAGTACAGCATTTTACAGTACTCATGACTAGTACATAAAACACATAGTGTAATAGTTGAAATACCATGCATCAAATCGTTAATGTAAAGTAACGTCCTTGGGCATAGCCTGATAGAGTTTGGCACGCCAGGATTTCAGCACCAAGGACAGGTGCGTTTGGCTGGATATGGATGGTATTCAGCACCAAGAACATGAATGTTATCGCTACCTTGGGCAAGAATATCTAGGTAACATAATCCCTAAGCATATCTTTGGTGGCTGCAAAGGCAGAATCAAATTGGCCAGGCTGTATCCATTTGCTAGGCAGTTACCATTTCGCCATCGAAGGAGGGATACAGCCTGGCCAGTTTGATTCTGTCTTTGCAGCCACCAAAAGATCTGCCTGGAGATAAAAGGTAACAGACCTTGGAGTAGGAGGGTTTCGGGCTCGGATGCTCCGGCGACGGTTGGTGTGGTCGCCTCGCCGTTGTCCGGTTGCCGACCGCGGCGTTGTGGGAGGATCATCTTCCGCAGCTCAGAAAAGGGAACTTCGACTGCGAGCGAGTACATAAGCGCTGAGCAGAAGGACCAGAACGAGAGTCCAGCGAAGAGGACCGACTGGAAGGTACAGAGTAGATCTAACCACTTTATTTTTTCATTTTTCACCAAGAGTTAGTACATGTAATATTTCTTTGTACCTATGTTTTCAAGGTCATAGCTTAGATTTCGATGTTTTCAATAAGGCCATGTTGATTTGATGACATCAGCACGCACAAGAATTTTCGGCCGTTTAAAAAAATCGGCCGTTTTCAACAAATCGTAAAAAAAACAGTCGCAAAATCATTGCCAAGGCGACGATTAAAGTAATATTCTTGTTAGTTGTGAAGCCAGAAATCTCCATTACAACGCTTCTAAGAAAACAAGATAGAATAAGGGTTACACAACCCTAAATTAGGGTTTCAAAACCCATGTCATTCTATAAAAGAGCCACACTTTTCTGTGGAATGCTTCCTTCGTTTATCAGCTTTATGTCATTGCGATGCTTTTCAACACTCAGCAAAACTTGTCCCACTATTCTGGCCTCCCGCACTTTAGTACTTACCCCTGCCAGTCCACCGTAGATAAGATTGCCCTGCTCAACAAATACATGAATATTCATCATGTGTATGAGGTAGGTAACATATGACAGTCGGCTTAGCGGCAGCCAAGCTTTCCAGGATAGAAACTCCGAGATGATACCTGTGTAGGCAGCAAAAGACAACAAATGAAGCAACAGTAGGATGCCGCTATTACTACATTGCACGGTTTTCTGCATTTGTTGTTTGTGTATGTGTTGTTGCCGACGTAACGACTATTTCTACTACTGATGTCACGTACACACTTGTCGTCCACATACATTATTACGCATGTACAGTATTCCCGGTCTTCTGAATGATGCGTAAATTCTTCACACCAGTCAGAAATCAAAACATCTACAGCAAAGACAATGATTATACATAGGAGGCTAACTCGCACCAAACACGTAACTAAGGATTTTTGCAGGTATGTTCGTTTTTCATAATTACCTCCATATCCAACACAACAGGCGTAGATAACCCAGCAAACTGCAGCGGCGAATATGCTCCTGTCTACGGCGTTCCAGCCGATGTGCCCCCTGATCTCGAAGCCTGGACTCGTAGCCCTTAGCACGGTAGGCATCACGGTTGCGACAAGTCCTATGGCTATGCCAATAGCCCATCCTAGTAACATCCGAATCTGAAAGCAAAACAAAGCAAAACGATAAAACATTTTGTAGAGTCAGTCACCACCGTCAAATCATGTGCAGAGTGGACTGTTTCTTTTGTTTATCTTCCAGGTTATAACCTTATTAACAAATTGACAAATAACATTGACATTGACAAATAGCAACTCTCAGTCGAAAATAATCCAATTACTGCAGTTGTGCTCTCCCCATAGTATAACGGGGCCCTATCACTGTGTGGTATCTAGAAACAAGATGAGTCCACGCGTATCCTGTACTGTTACCTTAGTAGCTCTCGTGTTGGACACTTTGCTGTTGGTCCTGAAGAGAAGGTAGGCCAACAGCATACCCATAATGTACGGACCCATCCTGCCGGGCGTCCAGTAATACACACTGCCGAATCCTTCCGGCTCCTCGCTGTACATGTAGAAAATAAAGATGGCAGACCCATGACGTCATAAATTTACCAACATTTATCCTAAAACAGAATAGGTTTAGCTGTTGTAAGACTTGTTATAATTTATACACAAGTTCTGGTTCACATCACTCTCCCTAAACGTAGCGAAAGAGCTATAATCGCGTTATATGTTAACTGCATTTCTATTAACACCTCCCATATATCTCGCAAAATGTCGGTTATTTCATACTCCACTGCACACGGAAAAGAAATCAAACCCAACAATAACTACAAATGTATATATAAAGTAGCATTAGCATCACTTATTATCATTCTACTGTTTACAGTTGTTATCATGTTCTTGCAATTAGCCCTCGGGCATGAATTTGCAATGAACTTTCAATATGCGCTCAAGATATTTGTTCGTATATTGTAAAAAATTTCAGAAGCAGACAGACTTACCGAACATCTAACTGCCTCAGGCCGGCATACGACACCCAGCTCAGCGCTACAAGGAATATATTGACAGCCACGCCCAGCTTAGGTTTTCTAGAAAAAAGGACAGAAACGAAGTGAAACTCATATAAAGGAGGAACTCTTTACCAATGACGCCGATTAAAGGTTACCTGGTCACGGGTCGGTTTTAGTGATGTGCGTAGTCTCCAACAAACTCCTTTGCAGGCTGAACAAATAGTAGAAATCGGCCTAAGACGAAAGTAGCAGGTTAGGGGAGTTGGCCGGCCATAGAGGGTCCAGTACAGTTTGCCTGCACGTCCATGTGCGTGGTTACTTATATTACAAATCAACCGTGCCTACGCCGGGCTGTTCACGTGTTGCGTTTGTGGTGGTTAGAAAACAGGAATATTAGTGGTTTATCAATGGACCTAAATGATAGGTATCCTAACGAAGTTTCAAACTCTAAAAAAGTATATACCTACCTGTACATTAGAAGTATGAGGGCAGGCGCAATAATGTACATCTGCATGTCCACACCGAGATACCACGCTACACCCAGGCACTGGTGAGGTCACATTATAACATTAATCCACAGAACACATAGAACCATAGCCTTTTGTGAAGACAATCATGAATCTTAACGCAACATAGCTCACTGTTCATCACGTCAAACACAGAGATTCGTGCATTCGTATTTCAATGTACATATTCATTTTCCTACGGCCATTTTACTATGTCTCCAGAACTACTTGACGAAGATGGTTTGTTGCGACACAGTAGAATATCAACTCATAGTGGACGAAAAGTACTGGGCCCTAAAATACTGACGTGAGTTAGCTGTGGGAAATTGGAATTAGCTTACATACGACTAGAATCTTGCAAAGTTAAAAAAAAACTCACCGTGGTTCCATCGCCCACGAAATAGTTGTTGATGTAGAGCAGGTTTGTCCACCAGTACGTTTGACATCCTTTATCAGACGGGAGCGCGAGTAATAGGAGATAAAGGTAGACCGGAGTCAGCCTGGAAAAAAGACTCAGTTATAACCTATCGTGAGGTCCTTAAAGGTCTTCCTCAGTAGACGGGCCCAGTTATAGCCCTTTCATGATTATACTAGTCACAGCGAAGGACGGTAACAATTATACATGATGAATATATTTTGGTGAACGTTTTGAAAAAGAATTGCACGAGTAAAATATTCTTCGAATTAGGACAGATAATTTTTTGCCCTGTGTAAATCGGGCCTTACCTCCAGTAGCGGTGGAGGTAGTGGCGACCAGCGTCCTTCCATGTGTACTCCCCATTTCTCTTCTTCAGTTGCTGCAGGAACCAGTGAGTGACCAAAAAGGCACTTTCAAAACGAAAACGGAAAGGAAATGAAATTAATAAAGAAATATTGATGCATCTTGAATGTAACTTGATCAATGATCATTCTTAAATCATAACCGAGCATGCGTAGATGTCAATATGTATGTATATCAGCATGTGGTTCGTGTTACGTTGTTAATGTATGCTCCACTAGCAGACTGCAAGATACACACAGCAAAAGACATAGTCAATAAACCGAGCTTTATGATATTCAGTAATGTTTTAAATAGGCATTAGCTGCACAACCTGAGAACGAGGAACGTGTCTACTGCCATATCGAAGCAGTCGAGGACAAAGAACCACCATTCCCGACGACGAGCCTCGAATTCCGCCCTAGGCCTGTTGGCTGAAGGAAAACTTTGTCACGTTCGGAAATGTCTCTCCTATAGAATCTAGTTCATTTCACCTACTTTCATATTTATTCATTATTTTTCCAAAAGAACTGTAGATTTGTTCAACTTCAGTTCTACGAAAGACTGTAAAATACTTACTAAACTGAGCGGCCATGTCCACGTGGCCATAAATGATCCATAGACAACTCAAGACACGGATACCATGGAGCGCCGGGAGTTCACCAGGACGCTGGCGGGTGTCAAACACTTTCTTTGTGTTTGAGTACAGCGAGAAACACATGAGAAAGCGGCCACATTTGGCTAGAGAGGGAACAAGCACGAAATAAGTAATTTGCATTACATGCTGCGTTAAATCATAACAGATTTGTCTGCTTTGTATTGTTTGGATTGCATATATCTATTTGTTATTTTATGAAGTATTACACATTTGTTGATTATCTTTATGTTCGATGGCGACTCTTAGGCCGTGTCATGTTATGTGAAGTCACCCAAGGCGCTTTACATGTGGTTTACCCCGAACCCGGTTTCAAGTGGCTCCATCTGAACGCTCCAAATCACATTGAAAGCGCCTCGATCCCAAACCACTTCTATAGGTGGTTTCGAATCGGTTTTCCCGCATCGCGATTTGCGTCTGAACGCAATGTGATTTCAATGTGACTTCATTTGGTCATGGAGTACGGGGTGATATTTCTTTATTTAAATGCAATACCAAATTGTACGTGTCAGCAACTTAAAGAGTAGTAAATGGTCAAATAATGTGTCCGTTCTAGGAAGAGCTTCACCGCCTCTGGTGGGACCACGTCGACATTCGGCCGAGATACGCTGGGAGGGGGGCACCAGCAAGCAGGTCGTTGACCTCTGACAATAATGGCACACTACCTAGCGTGTTTTCATCAAACAACAATGAATGTAGCTTCGGAGAATCGTGATCGGGCACGTTTTAAAAGGAATGTATGACACGTGGACCAGATGTGAGGAATGTGAGTTACCCGAATCGCGGTTTGGGTGACTTCACATAAACACGGCCTTATATATTAACTTGATTGCGTCACCGCCACCGTCTTGTATTTCTTTTCATATGCTT